ACGATATAAAGAGATTCACGTACAAAATCGTTTTATTCTACGTCTATCACATAGCCTACAGAGAAAATACATGATTTTGGAAAGTGGATTCCAACTCTCGAACCAGAACGTTAGCTTAATGATATGTGGAACAGTTATTGCTTATTTTAAAGCTTCGGAAACTAATTAACAAAGTCTCCAAGTTTATCTCTTTTCTGTATGTAGAAAGATGAGACTTCTAATTTGCCCTTTATGCGTTGGCACATCACACAAAGTTTATATATATTATTAGTCCTACAGAACAATGAAAATAATGTGGATTTTATGGTATGAATACAAAACCTGGCATAAGTATACAGGTTGACCCACCGAATAATGTTACATGTGGGCTTATTAATTTTGGCAAAATGGCGACTATCTTGCAGATGGTTGCCATGTAGTCCAGTTTTTCTTATCTACTCCTATTTTGCTGCTGAAATTAAAGTATAACTACTTTTAATACGTACATTTGAAAAAAATCGTAGATATTTGAAATGTAACGCACCGTTCAGTTGTGTCGCTTAGCAACAAAATTATGACTTGATATTGTTGGCTTAAGTATATTTTTAATACATGGGCTGGCTTGAATTCCATTTTTTTAGATTGTTTTAGTTTATGCATAGACTTAGCTTGACGTAGACATTTCAAAGTTCTTGGTGAGTCTTAAAAATATCTAAGTTAGAGGTTAGTGGCCATAGTCCGTATATTTTTATTATGTTTTCGTGAAGTTTTTCAGTTTTATTAATACTTTTTGGGTAAAACATCTTGTTTTTCTTCTTTCTCACAAACGTATTTCAATTAGTCTTAACTAGTGATGGTATTTGAAATGAATTTATAGATTTAAACTTTGTGATATAATTTCTATCATAAACCTTGTGCTTATTGGTTTTGAGTGCTTTGTCTTCTTTCGGTGTTTAAACCGTAATTTTTAGTTTTTACGACGTAATTAGAAAAATACGTTCTGGTACTTGTAAGATATGGATGGATTTGTGAAATTTTCCACTTACCACACTTGAGGTAGTAGTTAGAATTAAAATGATATCATTGAAAACGTCTTTACATAGCTCTTTATGTTTTGAATAATGGAAATGTTAGGTCTTAAAATCATGTATTTTCGTTTTGTGAAAATTTTCTTACGTTGTTACAGCACAGCATGTGAAAAATTTCAACATGAATAGCAAAAATGAATGCTAAAAGAATTTGAAGATGTTGTATTATGCAGCACTAACTAAAATGTTGAAAACCTTTTCAAATTTCTTCAGAACGTCTTTTTAAACTTAGAAATGACAAAGTAAACATCCTTGATTAAAACCTAAGATATATAAAAAATATAGTTATCATTTTGTGTGTGTAAAGCTATATTATGAATCATTTTAAATCTAAGTTTGCACTATTCTTATTGATTTTTTGGGAGTGTACAAGAAACACCTGGACTCTCACAAAACCCGAGCTTATTATACTGGTCAAAATGCATATTATGTCACGAAACAACTTCTAAAGTTTTGCAGTACCTAGCTGATAGTTGACATGTTGACATTGACGTTGTTATAGCTACCAACCATTGGAAATAAATATTCTTCGTTTGTATTCCCTGAGGTGTTTCCCAATGTTAGTCAAGTTAGATTCCCTAAATGAACAGTTCTCCAGATTTTTGTCTTGATAAGGAGAAATAGCAAATTACAACTCTGAAGCAAATCTGTTCTTTCTTTTCTCAGCTATCTTTGTCCTGCCAAGTGTATTTTGGAGACTTAGAAGATTTTTTGCCGCACGAAAACCAAAGTTGTCCACAGTCATAATTTAGAAAACTGCGCTCAAGATCCAAGTCTAGCTTGTTGGTCTGCATTGTGAAATGTCTCCTGCTCATGAAGAAACTTCAGCCGTTGACGTTCTGATTCTGGACGGTGTTTCAGTTATCAACAAGTTAAATCCACATGCATACAAAACCTTTGAAGAATACTCCTTAGAGGTATTGACACCATACGTGAAAAGTCAGCCTCGCAATGTAAGTAGGATAAACATCGTCTGGGGCGAATACTTACCTGAGAGGCTTAAAGTTTCCACGCGCAGCAAAAAGGGAAAAGGAATAGGGAAACGTGTGCAGTCTAACAAAAGACTTCCAGGCAATTGGAATGCATTCCGAAGGGTTGACGAGACCAAAACTGAGCTGTTTGATTATCTGGCTAAACAATTGGTAACTACTAAATATGAACAGCGGAATCTTGTTACAACAACAAAAGGCAAATTGGTACTTCGTGAAAAGCAACGAGAAGACACAAGCGGTTTGTCACCATTCGAACACGAAGAGGCTGATACAAGGCTATATCTGCATACGGTAGATGCTGTAAGATTTGACGAAAGTAATGGGTTGAACTGTTGACACAGATGTTTTTATTATAAGCATTGCAATTATGCCACAGAGGAATTTAGATAAACTTTAAATCGTATATGGTGCAGGCAAGAATTTCGGGTACCTCGTCTGCACCTGCTATTTCACAATCATTGTGTCCATCAACACCAATAACTTTCTTTTTTTCTACTCTTTCACTGGATATGATCAAATTTCTTGGTTTGACGACAGAGGCGGAATGGAAGAAACGGAAAGTGTCTGATGAGGTAACCTTAGCCTTTGAAGCTCTGAGTAAGGTTCCAACACCAGATATTATACCAAATCTAATGCCACAGTTGAAACGTTTTGCAATCCTTGTGTATGACTTAGCAAGTATATGCATGGAAGTAAATGAAGTTCGCAAAGACTTTTTCACACACAAGGGGAGGTCAATTGATGCCATTTTCCAACTTAACCAGCTTCTCTTCAACACACCAAGAAAGCTGCATACCAAGTTGGATATTCTTGGGGACATTCATTGGTACCTGCCCCTCAAATATATAACTCATGTGATTGGGGCTGAATAAAGGCCACATAAAAATGCGGGGGCCGTTTTGCTCAGTTTGCCCCATAGAGCTCATCAAGTTATGGATGCAACAAAGGCTTCAGAAAATAATGCAAATGTGTGAAAGCACAGATGTAATATACATCCTGTGTAAATTTAGAAGAGGATGTGAGCAGGAATAAAAACAGTCAAAAACACATGACCGTTCACGTCCGGATGAGGGGGAGAACATAATTTATAATTATTCACACGTGTTTAAGTGTAAGACTTCCGCCGTTGCCATTTTTTAGCAATACCTTTTTACTTTTTTAATACTTAAACATTGATGTCCAAATAAGTTTTGTGTGCATTAGTGTTTGGAATAAAGTTTCGTATATAATGAAAGAGTTTTAATTGTTCTTTTCATGTCATTGTGTCCAGACATTAAAACAACGTATACGAATAATTATTGGTAATTTTATATATTAAGTCTTTGGCAGGCATCTTAAAAATGGCAGCCATTTCTTTAAGTCGGTCCATGTTCTAAGTTAGTTAATCGGTCATGAGTTTCCTTTCTGCATCATTTATTGTAACATTAATACCAAAATGGCAAATGTTTAATAAAGGTTTTCACGTTTTTATATTTTCAAGACCCGTGCAGCCATATTAAAAATGGCAGCCATTCTGATTCTTTTTTTTTCTAGTAGGACCATACTCAAGATTATTCAGTGTATCAAGAACTATAACTCTGCAAAGTTTGGTGATTTTACTATAAAACCCACAATTCCTTCAAAATATACAATATCTTACTGGACTATAAATGCATTTTTTGCTCACAATGCGTGTATTCAGTGCAAAAACTTTCAAATAAAGCAAGAAGACATAATTAAGGAACGTTTAGTCAAAATGCAGAGGGAGAAACAAAAATGGTTTGATATAACATCTATGCCTGTGATAGTAGGGTGGGTAACTACTCAATCGCACATCTTATCACCCATGTTTAATATATATTCTTTAATGTTCCCCTAAAACAAATCTTCAACTGACGCCTCTAATCTTAAATACTTAGGCGTATTAAAAATCAAACAATCTAAATTCTCTGGCACTCTTTTTTCTACTGAAAACAACATATTCGAGAAATAGACCCATTTTCTTGAACAATAAACTTTTTACTTTAAAAAACAAGAAGTTATTTCTAACTATGTTTAGAAATATAGCAAACTTGAACAATAATACATTATCAAGAAATAGCACTGTAACCTTGAAACAATTCATATTTGAAATACATAGGAGGATTTGAACAATGGCAAATCCTATTATTGAAGTATTGCACCACTATAACCTTTAACAATATAATACACTAATATTAGCATTGTTATAACAACTCGACCTGTTAACAGAACGATTTTTACACATCTATATCCAACAAATATGACCTGATGGCAGAAGATGACGTTACGCTTCGTTTCAGTGGAACTTTAGGCAGAGTAGACGCAGTTGGTTTGAGAGCTTTAATGACTACAACTGCCTGAAAGTAAAAGAGGGAAAACTTTTCGGCTTCTCTACTGAAAGCAGTATAAAAACTGAAACGTTGTTCTCTTTTCATTCAACAAGCAGTTGTAGTCCAACAAAGTTCTCAAACCCATATTACTCTTGATAAAAGAGTTAGCACAAAGGATCACATATAAAGTGTAATAAACTTAAAATAAGACTCATATGTTTTGGGTCTTATTTTAAGTTCAAACCCATATTATATATCGTTTTGCTAAATAGAAAAAGTCAATGATTATATATATAAAAAACAACTAATACGTGAATTAGGTTTATGAATTGAACGTTTGAAAATGCTTAATACTATCATCGACTCATTGACACTATATTTTATAACTACGTGTAGGGTACGTAGGGTTTTTTTACTGAACATGAAGTTCACAATTTTAAGAGGTTGATCAATAGCATTTGCTGTAAAACTGAATATTTTGGAATATAATAAATATAACTTTTTCTTTATTCACAGAGCTTAATATTATCGAAAATACTAATATAAAATTATATAAAATTAATTATATATAAATTATGTTTAAACAAGAATCAAACATTGATAAAAAAAAAGAAAGATATGCATGGTGGTTATTGTAGAACAGTGTTTCTCAACCATCAGGCCGAGGACAAGCATTGATCTGTCACAACCACCTTTCCTGTCCGTAGGATTTTACGACAAAAACTGACAGAATATTCCTTTGTAAATCGAAATGATTTTTCATTGTACTTGCATTTTAGTGGTTCATGATGAGTTATGGAAGCAGACGATCTCTGGTATCGAAATGGTTGAGAAACGCTGTTGTAGAACATTTGTTTGCAAGTTCTGGCGCTTTCCGAAAATCTTGGTGAGAGCAGAGACGAAGATATTTCAGAAAGTAAGCATAAAATTGTCAGCTATTTTTCTCTAATTTTTTTCACATTCAAAGAAGATTTTTGTGAAAAGCCAAACTGGTTGCTAGAAAATCTAAGAGGTGGCGCTTAAAGTCAATTTCAACTAGTGGAATCTGATGAGCAAAATTTATATAGTATTCTCGTGGAAATTCTCACAACTAAACCAAATGTTAGGTAATATTCTTACCATGTTGTCCCTAACCCAGATAAATTAGTAAAGTAACTATGTAAATACTATACTTAGATTAATATATTAAGTTTCAAACAAAATAAAATTGCTCACACGATTATGATTGGTTTTATTAAGCAGTATACTTAAAAACACCAATTTTCAAAGTTTTCGTAATGGATCGACTCTAAACGGACTCTAGAAATCAACTAATGCATACTCGTGAGCGTGTATGGAAAGTCTGGTGTTCTCCTATTTGCGTATATATTAGGAATTCCGATACTTTACAGTCTTCTCTGCATTTTGTTTCCTAGTATTTTGTGTTGTTCACTGGTCATTCTCTACGTCCAACATCATCACATCTTTGTATCCTCCAGAAAACCCTCGTTGTGAACACCGCTAAGTTTAGGATAGACTTTGGCATCTTTCTCCGTTGATTCTGGAGATTTCTCACTATCGAGCACCTCTTGCGGCTGATTGACGTACTTGTAGTAATATGCCATAGCTGCAAATATCAACATGTCTATCGCCATCAGGCCAGAGAACATGAAGAATTCCAACGACTGGGAAGAAAAATAACAAATGCATGATACCTGGTTTCATGAACTGAAGTATCTCAGAAGCCATTGCATTAAATACTTTAATTTAAATTAATAGAAAAAACAACTGACTCGGTGAATTTCGATGTTACATTACAATGTTATATTTCAACTCTTCCTTTCCTTATTATTTTTAAATCTTGGAAAATACTGTTTCATCTCAAAGAATTACTAATAATTCAATAGTTTATTACAACAATTTGGACAATTTAAAGACTAACTGTGCACAATAAAAACGGCCAGATATTGTTTTTACTTCAGTGTTGCCTTCCATCAGAAGTTTCCCTCCTCTGTCATAAAACAAAAGTTGGAGAGGGTTTTAGGTTATGGATTAAATTCTGTTTCTTTTTGTTTTTAACGAGCAACATGGTTTCAGATCAAGAAACTCTGTGTCTGTCTTACAAGTTAAATAAAAAATTGGGAATTTAAACACCTGCAAAAAGTAAGGAATCAAGGCTGGATATACTGTAGATGTTATTTACTCAAACTACAAACCCATAATTTGGCTCCATGCTGCTATCTAGAATTACATTTGGTGGACTCAAAATAAGGATTTGTAGTTTCTGTAAATAATGTCTACAGTATCTCCAGCATTGTTTTCTAATTTTTTTACGATCCCTACTTGCAGGTTGTTAAATTCCCAATTATTTATTTATCTTGTTTGCTGGCTTTTTACGCTTAATTGTGGGCAAAGGATTATTTGATACGGTAGCTAACTTTATACACTGTAATAATAATACATATAGCTAGTAGCTAGCTGATACGGTTCATGATGATTTACTGTAGCTATTGACTATTTGATCGCATTAGTTCGAGATGTAAAATGTTAAGCTGCAGCTAGAGATTGCCATTGAGATTTATTTGAGAATATAGTGAGCATTTATAATTTCTGTGTGACTAAATTCTCTATATATAATGCATAGCAATGGACAAATATATACCTAGACCAGTGCTTCACAAATGGGTGAATGGTTCACCCAGGGGTTAATGAGATCAGAATCAGGGTGAATGAGTATTATCAATTATATAACAAATTCAAGAGCAAAAAGTCATTAGTTATTATTATGTATTGTAGTTGTAGTTTGATAAATACATTTATTTTATGTTGCATTCATTCTAGTTGTAGTTTGATGTATATTTAAGTCATAATAAAGAATCTTACATTTTAATTTAGTACTTTTTTGTCTTTTTTCAAACTGGGGTGAGTGTTGTGAAAAACTTATAGAGGTGAATTATGTTGGAAAAGCGGTTGGGTAAAACTTATAAAAACGTATTGGAAAAGGTTGAGAAGCACTGGTCTAGACTAAAACACAACCTCCTATAAGCGCGTATAAAATGTTACCAGTAAAAAAGCAGCCTTTTAAAATAAAACATCGCTTTAAATAATCCTTCGTGTCTTTTAAAGTAATTATTTTACGATACTCCTATCTGGCCGGGCACAGTGTAGTGGTTAGTATTCCCAGATTGCGTAAACGAGAATTCGTGGTTCGCGGCCCGTTGCCACACAAGTCGCTGCGCAATTTGGGGCCTTAGGTACGCTATAAGAGTGATGGTCAGACTCTACTATTCGGTCAGTGAAAAGTAAACCAAGAAATTAGAGAGAGCTATGCGCATATCGCCCTTGTGTAGGTTTGCGCAGAATTCTGAAACAAACAAACAACAATAAATGTTTTTCTTTTACTGTCAGAATCATAAATAGTATACTTTCGGAAGTTGCTTTTTAATGCTGCTGTTTAAAGTAAATATTATTGTTTGAAAATTCAGCTACATTAAAAACAAAACGACATTTTATGAAAGACAGAAGGAAGAATAAAATTTTAATGGAATGAATAAACAATAACATTTTGAAGTATGACTTTTTTTTTTAAAGAACCGGCTTGAAATACAGTCATTGTCTTACCTGTTTGTTAAACAAACGGAGCTTGGCTATGACGACAACAATCAAGTTCCCGAAGGCTACTGTCAAAAGCCAGGCAGCCTGTAATACAGATTTCATGGAGCTAGGAGCCTAATGGGAACAAAATATCCATGACTTATCAGTAATAGAAAGTAGATCACAAACACGTCCAAACAAACAGCTGTTTTCACTTACTCACTCAAGATTATTAGAAAAATCGAATCTGTTTCTGTTAATTTCTAACATATTTCTAGTGTACTCAACCATGAGGAAATCCCTTGTTAGGGAAGATTTACATAGTAGGCCAAAAATTAAATAACTTTCTAGGTAATAGGGCCATTGATGGAAGACATAATTTTTCCACCTGTGATGATAATGTACTGATGAACTTAACTGGGAATAAGAAATCTCAAAACTGGTGACTGAAAACAATTTATCTAGTTGTGATGATAATGTCCAGAGGAACTTACCTGAGAATATGAAATCTGAAAACTGGTGACTGAAAACAATTTATCTAGTTGTGATGATAATGTCCAGAGGAACTTACCTGAGGATAAGAAATATCAAGACTAGTGACTGAAAAC